GAGAATAGCTTGACTCCCTCTTCTTTGTGGCAGCCCCTGAGATATTGAAACACGGGAAAATTGTTGTAATGATTGTTAAAACTTTTTAAATAAAAAAAAAACTGCAGAAACTTGTCCAAGCAATAATCAAGAATCAATAGTGACTCAAAAGAACAACAACAAAACCTGTTTTAAAAATTGGCTGCAGGAGACATAGGAGGCAGATGTCTAAATGAACCACCATTTCAGTCACCCAGGGTAGCTGAGTGTAGTATACCTCTCTCCCTCCATCTCTGAACACCAATAAAGTTCCCTCTCAAATCAGAATGCCAGACATCCATTCCTATGATCAAGGCTAAATTCCCTCAGGGTTGCATCAAGAAATTACATGACACCCAGAGTACATTGAAAACTGAAGCCTTTCGTTTTGCTACTGAAAAGTGGTGCAAGTAGGATAAAACCTTGGCATTGAAATCTTATCACTATTCCAGTCAAAAGTGACCGGAATAGTAATAAGAGGTAATAGGTGGGAAATGTTAACAATGCATGTGCTAATAAAGAGAAATCCATTGAATTCGGCTACTAGTTCATATGGTCAAAAATATACATATGTTGCCCTCTTTCACTGTTGTTTTCCACCATCTGTTATTTTTATTTATTTATTTATTTATTTGATTTATATTCCGCCCTTCTCCGGAGACTCAGGGTGGCTTACAATGCGTTAAGCAATAGCCTTCATCCTTTTGTATATTTTATACAAAGTCAGCTTATTGCCCCCACAACTGGGTCCTCAATTTACCTACCTTAGAAAGGATGGAAGGCTAAGTCAACCTTGAGCCTGGGGAGATTCGAACTTGCAGTAACTGCAGGCAGCTGAATGTTAATAACAGGCTATTAGTCTGCTGCGCCACCAGACATTGTACTGAGAACATACATTTCTGTAAAGTTTTGACCTAAAATGACATGGCTGCATCACTGCTTGAAACTGATTACTCAGAATGAGTGCAGCTGGTAAATAGAAGTCTGTATGGTGTTTGGTTAACAGTAAACATGACTGATTGTGGGATGCAGTGGCTCAGTGGCTAAGATGCTGAGTTTGTCAATCAAAAGGTTGGCAACTCAGGGGTTCAAATCCCTAGTGTCACATAACGGAGTGAGCTCCTGTTACTTGTCCCAGCTTCTGCCAACCTAGCAGTTCGAAAGCAGGTTAAAAAATGCAAGTAGAAAAATAGGGACCACCTTTGGTGGGAAGGTAACAGCATTCCATGTGCCTTTGGTGTTTAGTTATGCTGGCCACATGACCACAGAGACGTCTTCAGACAGCACTGGCTCTTCAGCTTTGAAACGGAGATGAGCACCACCCCTAGAGTCAGGAATGACTAGCTCATATGTGCAAGGGGAACCTTTACCTTTACCTTTACTAAACATGACTGATGCAGGCAGCCCACTCTTTCTCAATACCTATCCCCTACAAAACTACTGGCAATTGCGTAAGTTATTCTTGCAGCAGTTAATATGTGAATTGTGAGATATTTGATATCCTTAGGGTATGATTTGTTAAAGATTCCTAATAGAAATGTTTCTGGTTCTTTTTCAATCTGTGTTTTTGTTATTTGTTCCAACCATTTTTTGATGTTAGACCAAAGTTTCTTGGAAGCAAGAAAAAATACCAAGTGAAACAGAAGTAATAGGGAAAATTTTAGAATGCGCTGAAATGGATAGATTAACCAAAGAATTACAAGAAAGAGAAGAATCAGACTATTATAAAATATGGAATAATTGGTATAATTGGTTAAAAATGAGAAATATACAAAAAATATAGGGGAAATATTACCGATTTAAATATATATATATAATAAAAAATGTTATTAGATTAAGGAGAGGTGAAGGAATATATCATAAGTAGAATTGTAGAATGTCACTCTGAAAAAATGCTTAAGAAGAAATTACACTCTTTTTGTGTATATGTTGTATAAATGTTTGTTGTGTATATGTTACGTATGTCTTTTTTAATATTTATATTCAATAAAAACTACTTTAAAAAAAACTACTGGCAATTGGATGTTCTCTGTAAACAAATTTGAATCCTTATAGATCTTCTCAAAAAAACCCAATTAATTCTCTCTTGGATTCCTGCTATTGGTCCCATTCCCATATGTCTTTCCTTTCTACAATACAAAAGCATATCAGTTAGATGATATAGATTAAGCTCTTCTTCTAAAACAATTTCTTTCAATAATGTTACAGCTTCAGGATTAACAAGGAATATTTGCTCAGTTTTTAACCACTGCATCATTTTCTTTCTTTCTTCCTTCCTTCCTTTCTTCCTTCCTTCCTTCCTTCCTTCCTTTCTTTCTTTCTTTCTTTTTCTTTCTAAAAAATATTTATATAACTGCTCAATTCTGCCTAATTCTGGGTGACTCTAAAAAAACAATAAAACTGATACAGCAAACAATAATAAAACAGTAAAATCAGTAAAAGATAACAGATAATTAAACAACATTCTGTACCCTTGGAATCCTGCATAGCAGGCTCTATTGCCCTCCTTCTATATTATGTACCTAAACAATCCTATCCCTCAGTAAAAAGGCAGGTCTTAAGAACCCTCCCAAAGGCTAGAAGTGGGGGCTGTTAAATGCTGTAAGACTTAACATTACTAACAGTCAAGACTGACAGTCTTGGAAGTTGTCAGGGGAGACGTATCTAACGACTTGTACTTTGATATATTAAAGGTTCAAGGCTTTGAGATGGAGCTTCCTAGTAATGGGTTGTATTTATTCATTCATTCAATCAATCAATCTGACTCCTTATTCTTTGCTAAAATCATAATGACAGCATAGATCAAGACAGATGTACCTCTTTCTACCCAACTGATTATATATTGAATCCTATGCTGAAAAGATTGTTGTCACCAATTATCTTCAATTCTGTATTATCACAATGCATCATATCCAGCCTGTTTGTTTTGAAGTCTGTTATTTTGTAAAATCATATACACTAGATAACTGTAGATACCACTTTTTATCTTAATAATTAGATAACTGAAGATAGATCTATGAAAGATTTATGAAAGTGTACCTGACAAAATGATTAAAAGTAAAATTCATATTAGGCGTCATTAGAAAACAAATGAAATACATTCTTTTCTAACAAGTTGTAGACCAGCTACATGGTCTGCCTGCTTCCCTGAATTGATCTTCCAGAAGAGTCCCTTGTTTCTTCCAGAGTTTTATGTCATTTCTTGTATTTATTGATGCCTTTGATTTCTATAGCTGCCCATTTCTATAAGTGACTTGGGCAATGTATATCATATAAACAATTAAAAGAACTAAAACAGTATTTTATATATATATATATATATTTGTTTTCTGAGGTTTTCGTGGGTGTTTGTATATAGGTCTTTGGTTATTCGGGTTTTCTTCCGCATAAAATTGGAGGTGTCTTGGTAACGTTTCGATGAAGTATCATTCGTCATCTTCAGGCTGGTGTTTTACGCGGGAGAAAACCCGAATAACCAAAGACCTAATATATATGCTATTATGAATTAATGCAATAATTTCGGGTTAATATTATTCATACTTTTCTCCCCATTCTAAGACTATGTGTGAAAGCTAGAGTGAGGTCACAGTAGGAACAACCCCAACTGCACTATTTGTCCCATTGCCTACTTCCCCAAAATCTTTGAATGAAGTATACGCTTTTCCAAAACAAATTAGAGCAAATAAAGCTACTTGTGCATTGTAATTTACAATTGTGCTGGATCTCAATCTTATGGGCTTTCTTGAAGCATAGAATATATGGTTTGGAAAGAACCTTGGAAATTGTCTTCCCCAAGTCTTCCCCAATTCTCTACCTTGTGCAGAAATACATTTCTGACAGATGGCCATTAACACTTCCAATGGAGAATGCACTAAAGGAGTTGGTCCTATTGTTGGATAGCTTTTACCACCATGCTACTTGTCTTTCTTTTTATTTGTAAACTGCCCAGACCACTTAAGGAGTCTGACCATCTTGACATTAGAACTGGAAATTGGCCTACTTCCCTGTAATTCAAACCCTACTTTCTCTAAATAACAGCTTTAAATAGTTCTGCAGATGTTTTACATGTTAGTCTTCATGTACTTGATTATAGCTATCAGGCCTCACCAGTCTTCTTTAGATTAATCATTAATAATGCCTCAAATCACTTCTCCTATTTTTTTTTTTCTTATCCAGGTCTCTTGGTTACTCTACTCTGATCAGGTTCTAGTCTGCCAATGTCCTTATTAAATATTGCGCCCAGATCTGGAAACAATATTCTGGTTGCTGTCTGACCAATCCAGAATAGAGAGGAATAACAACTTGTTTCTGATCAACAATTGATCATGCACCAGGGGTGAAATGCTACCAGTTCAGACCAGTTTGGGCGAACCAGTAGTAATAAAAGCTACTGGTTCAGGCGAACTGGTAGTAAAAAAAATGCTACCGGTTCGGACGAACCGGTATTTCCGACGATCAGCTGTGCCGCTCGATTTGTATTTGCTAGAAAGCAGGAAATCCTGCTTTCTAGTGAATCTAAATCGCGCGGCACAGCTGTTCTCCCCCCTCACTGTTCTACATACCTTAGAAAAGGCTTCTTAAGCCTCCTTTTTCAGTGCTGTGCGATAGCGCCTGCGGTGTGCCTGGGTGCAAAGCACGCATTTGGTGCGCACTATGCATGTGCACACATTACCGGTAGCAAAGTGAACCTGTAGCAGACCTCATAACATTTCACCACTGATAGAAACCTCTTTGCATTCATCATAATGTGATGGGTCAGGCCTGATGGCAGCATTGTTTAGACCTGGATTTATCTTTCAGTCTCACCTACAAAACTAAACTCTCAGGATTTGTGCAGGCATTCTGAAACAGAATGGGAGGCAGATATGGTGAATCTATCAAAAAATACTTGAAATATACCTGGTTCTTCTGAATCCTTTAGATTTCCTCTCTGTATTAAAGGATTCTTTTTCTTTTAAAATCTGTGGTGTCTTTTTGTACAGATGACAAGAAAGTGAAGCGTAGAATTAGGACCACATTCACAGCAGAGCAGCTCAAGGAATTGGAGAGAATCTTCCAAGCTACACACTATCCAGATATCAACATCCGCAACCAGCTGGCAGCTAAAATTAATCTTCCAGAAACCAGAATTCAGGTAACTTCTGGTTCCTTCTAATGTAGAACAAATGCAGCTGGATGATGAATAGTTATTGATATTGATAAATTAACAAAAGTGTAAAACTGATAAGTACCAGTCAGATTACAACAAACTTTATAACACAATATATACTTCCCTGTCACTAATCTAGAAAAGAGTTGAGTTTATGAAAGATTCTGAAGATAGTTGTATGCAGTAATGTCAACAAATTAAATATAAGCCAGTTATCATACATCAGAGAACTCTATTTTTGTTGCTATTGAAGCTTGAAAAATAAATTCTCTGTAACAAAAATTGATTTCCCAATAAACAATTGCCACTTTTGTGTATTTGTAACTGAATTCATTTCCTTGAAGTGAAGTTTTATTTAGTTGCAAAGCAATGAACTTCATAAAATAACAATGTTTTCTACTTTTAGATGAGTTTGGAAATTTAACCACATAGAATTTCCTCAGAAAATTGTTAACATGCCAAACCAATCCCAATTTTACAGATACGCAAAGCAAAGCAAAGTAAAAAAACATATTACACAGTTATTGATTTGTAAGTTCGTAAATCAGATTTTAAAAATACATCTTTCGGTCTTTGTTAAATGGTCAGATAAAACAAAGTATCATTTCAGTAGTAGTATTTTTCTATTCTTGTATAAAATGTAGGAAAGTTGTGGGTTGTTAAACACCATTATTTAATCACATTTAACCTTTGTGTACTTTTTTTTAGCTGTACATATGCACTCATTCTAAGCTTCATCCACAAAATTCCTCAAGAATAAAATAAGTTTAGCAGGTGAATTAAATGTCAGGAAAAATGATTTTTTTAAAAATATATATTTATTTATTTATTTGGTTTGTGTGCTGCCCAATTAATCTAGACGCAACTATGGGCAGTTTACAAACATTAAAAACCAGTAAACATTAAAACAGTAAATAATAATAATTTACTATTGAAAAATGGGGGAAAGAAGCATGAAGTACACAGAGAGGTAAGGTTTTATCTTAATCTCCAGACTGGTGCATTCCACACAGCAGTGGAATGGGGGCTTCAGGCCAACTGGTAGAGCAGGTCTTAAGGCCCTCATGGAAGATCAGGTGAATGGGTGTGTTCTCACCTGGGAAGGGTACAATGTTCTAAAGGGCAGAAGCCACAGCAGAAAAGACTCTTCACCTGGACTCTGCCAGCCAAAATTACTTGACCAATGGGCTCTGCATCCTGCCCTTCCTGCTGACACAGGTGAGGCAGGCAAATCCTATTTCTTAGAATATTTTAATTTCAATCTCAGAATTCTGAATAAAATTAGAATTCCAAATTCCAATTAAAATTTGAAATCAGAATTCAAAACACTAAGTTTTGATTGGATGTATCAGTATGTTTAATATAAAAATATAAAAATTATATAATATACAAATTACTGAAAATATATTATAAGCCAACTGTCAGATACTGTAAAATGCCTATTTTTATATTTCTGGTACCTTAGGGCAAATCAGAAATTATTGCTTTCTATAAACATTTCTCCTAACAAATAGAAGCAGCAATAATAGTAGTAGTCATTAATAAAATTTTAAAAATTTAATTCTTTTTTTTTTTTTTACATAGGTTTGGTTCCAAAATCAACGAGCAAAGTGGAGGAAACATGAACGATTTAGCAATTTTGCAGGTCTGCAGCATCAGGCTGAAGCTGGTTTTATTTCAGTCCCAAAGCCAAAAGTAAGTGTGGGTTTCTCTATTCATTTGTAATTTTAAAAAAGCAGTTCTATGAAATGAAACATTCTCTAAATGTACTAATCAATAATACCAAATAAAAGATATACAAAGTGCAAAAATTCAAAAACATAAATTAGACAGAAAATACTAACCAAATTTTTAAAAAATAGAAAAAGAAATTACAATAAATAGGCAATTTATTTTTTACTTATTGGTTTTATATCCTGGCCATTTTGATATCCAAAGTGACTCTGAGTGGCTTACTGTGTAATAAAAATACAAATATAAAAAGAATTATAAATATAAGAACAATTAAAGAATTAAATAAAGACTAAAAAGCAAAGGCTTAAATAAGCATGGTAGCTTTCTTTGTCACTGTACCAACCACTTCTAACCTAAAGCATGTCTATTAAGGCGGCACGTCAACCAACAATTAAGGAATATTCCATTTTAATCAACAAAGTAAAGCTTAACTATGTTGACTCAAACATTTATCATTGTTTGATAGACAGCCAGTTTAAAAGATGAGGGGACACATGTTTCTTCGAATCAGCCATTAACATCCAGGGATACTACTGTACTCTCTTTTAAAGAAAACAACTATAATCCCTTTGTGACAATCCAAGTGGTATAAATACAAAGTTACTAATAAATTGTTAGATTACAATTAAAAATCCACTGGTGCCTTTAAATTTGATATTTATTCTCTTATCTAACCCTTAATTGCATTAAGAACATTAAACCAATATTCAGCCACAAGTGGAAATGCTAAAATCATAAATGTTAATATGCCTTCAAATTTATTATTATTCCAATATATGAGTAATACTGTATAGAAATATAGATAGCCACCCCTTTTGAACATCCACTTTTATGTCTAGGAAGACCTGACTAATATTTCCTATGAATTCGATCCAAATTGAGAAGTTTACAAATATTCTGACTGACTTTTCTGAGATTTGAGCCATGGTATATTATTTTGTAGCCTCTCAAAATGTGTACATATGTAACTGGCACCAAGATGTTTTAAATCTAAAGCATTATCCCCCTTTCAACTAGTTTTAGCCCCCCCCCCCCAACCCCAAAGTTTATCTGACATTTTTAAATAATATCCCAGAGTCAATTTTTCATGAAAACCAGGATTCAGTTTAGGCCTTTTTTCAACCCACCCAGATGCTAATGGGCTGGCAGCTTCATTTCTGGTGCCTGCTAGATTCTATGTACTCACCTTTAGCTTTAATTTCAAAACTTAATGATAAATAAATTAATAGGAAGTTGACCTGCAAAGTAAATTGCTATTTTCTAGCACCAATCCTATTTCCAAAAATGCCCTTGAGTCCCACATAATCTAACAAGTATGCTTAGACAATAGACATGAGGATTGCTGTAGTCCAGTGCTATGTTTAAAAATAAGTCCAGTTGCCTAGAAAAAAGATTACAATTCACATTTTACTGTGTGGTGATTTTGTAACAAGCCATCCTGATTATGACAGCCATTTGAGGAAGAATTAATGCAGTAATTTTAAAAGGATAATAGTATTTAAAATTCCTAAACTGTCCAATGCCCTAAAACATTTGCCTATCCTTTAAATCAGATACCTTGAACATCCTAACCTTTATTTTCTTGTGCCAATATAGCAGTAGTTAAATTTTAGGGACACATTCAAGTTCCCTCATTTCCTTCCTATTTGGGGGTGGGGGAGTCATTAATCTTTCCCTTTTCCAGGGTTTGCCATAGTTCGGAATAGGTGTCCATCATCACCAACTATGGTTAATGCAAACTAAACACTGGAATCTGCCAGCAGATAATGATTTTATATTAGCAGCTTTGATATCTAACTTCCCATAAAATTTTCACTTTATTTTTTTTCTTACTTTATATCACTTTGTAATTTTTATCTTGCTTTAAAAACTGTAATAAAATTCGATTTATTATTATTGTACATATTGATCATATTTTATATAATTTTGCCTTTCTAATTCCTCTTTCATTCATTCTTTTTATCTTATAATAGGACCTTTTCATGATGCCCAGCAACAGCCTTTTTGGTATCACCCCTCCTTCAGGATACTATTACACACTGATCCAAGAGCATTCCATGCGCGCCTAACTATCAGACCTGCTATCTTGGGCCCCATTGCCATGGACTCTTTAGCATTTTCAAAATCATCTCTAATTATTGACTATCTTCCTCCTTATACTGTTCACCCTCTGTTCCTGAACCAGCAATGGGGTGTGCCACTATGACTTTCACCGAATAGAGGATGAATTGAAGCAATGTCTGGTTCTTCTAAACCAGGGGTGTCAAACTGGCAGCCCATGGGCCAGATGCATCACACGCAGGCCACGCCCACCCCAGCTGCATGAAAGGGAAAAAGTTGTGATATGTCACATGATGGCAATGTGACCCAGCAAGTTTGATACCCGTGTTCTAAACAGATGCCTTCACTGAACCAGTATTATGTAGTAAGTAGTTGTGGGAATCAGAATAATTCCCATGGCTATGATATTTACAGCTTTATTAGAATCTGGTTAGAATCTCAGCTTATCTTCATTGAAATGATTGTAAAGAAGTAACAAGTGGTGCTCTTTAAAAGAAATATAAGTAGAATATTAAAACAACTGTAGACAAAAATTATCCTTAAAATATAGAGCTAAAAAGCTTCATGTTGGCTTTGAACAATGAATAGAACTAGGTGTAAATCAGTGGTCCTCAACTTTTTTCACTCCTGGTGTAAATGATAAGGCAATTTTTCATCAACATTCAACAAGTCAGTGTTAATTATACTCTGCCTGAAACAATATACATTCTCCGTTAACGAACTGTTGTATTGCATCCTCTATGGAAGAGCTAAGACCTTAAGTGATCAACAATTGCAAAGTAGGAGTGATCAGTTTTTAATTGGCCGGTAGCATATTCTATTCTTCTCTGCAGGGAAAGTTGTTGCATTTTAATTGATCAGATTGGCCTCTCTAAACTGTATTAAGCCATTCATTCTGCATCTTTTGACATTAGCTGTATTTTTGATGAGGTATACAAAAATTAAGACTAGGGTTAGAAACACCAAATATAGCTTTTAATTATTTTTTTACCTTTGAAGAATGGGATTGGGTGTTTGCTTTATTATTTTTCAAGTCTGTAATAATGAATTATAGATTAATGTATTAGATGGCATGTGTGGGAGACAGACAGAATGAGAAACAGTGAATTATATTGGATGAAATATTGGTTTGGTCTCTTAAGGGATTTCTTTAAATGATTAAAACATTTATGAGGGAAAACACTTTAGTTTGTTTTTTTTTAATGATGAAGAAAAGAACCCAGGAACCACAAGTTGTGGGGGTAGAAGCCATAATGAAGATAAAGTACTGGAAAAACTATTTGAATTTATCTAGAACTCAGCATGTATAAGTCAAACATGTCTGTGCACTTTTATAGAATTTAGGAAGCTGGCTTATATTAAATCACACCAATGGTCTTTTACATTCAGCACTGCACATAGAGGGAACGAAGAACATATGGGCTTTTAAATGAGTTGAAAGAATCCAGTTTTATCTCTAACAGCATAGCTGATTTGCACATCATATGCATATTATTTATTCATTCATTTGATTTGTGTGGCCACTCACCTTTTGCCTCCTCCAAATAGAATCACAATTGGCACACCAGCTGAAATTACATAAATTCTCCATTTACCATGGTCTGCATTACAAGCAGTTGTTATGAATCTAAGAGTATCCCGAGTGATAGGTCTGCTTCTTCATATGACATGCTACTCCATCTAGAACTATCATTGGAATGCACCCAACAGCTTCATGTTAATGTTAAACAGCTGGGGAGAAAGAAAAGAACTCTGTGGTGCCCAGCATTAGAATGGAATGGAATGGAATGGAATGGAATGGAATGGAATGGAATAGAATAGAATAGAATAGAATAGAATAGAATAGAATAGAATAGAATAGAATACCGTGTTTCCCCAAAAATAAGACAGGGTCTTATTTTCTTTTGACCTACCACCCAAATAAGGGCTTGGCCTTATTATTGGGGGGTCTTATTATTTTGGGGGTGCAGGAGGTGGTGAGCATGGGACTGGATGTCCCGTCGCTGCCATCCCCTCCCCTCCCTGTTCTTCACACCGGCCGAGCGGCCCAACACGTCCCACCCCACCCCAATGGCAACAGCTGCTTCCCTTCCCAGCTATCTCTTTATTGAGAGGGGTGGCAGGTGGGATAGGGGAGAAGCAAGACACATGGAGCAAGACATGGCTCCCCTTGCTATCTCTTCTCCCCCCCTCTCGCCGGGCATGGCAGGGATCCTGGCCCTCGCTTAGCCACCTGCCCCCTTTAGGGATGCAATTTGGGGTGGCAGGTGGGGCAGGCAAGAAGCAGGGTGCAGGTCTTACCTTGCAAGCTCCGTCGCTTTCCTAGCCATTGTGTCCAGGGAAGCATGCTGTAAAAGAAAACCTTATCGTGAGTTCAAGAAGTTTGATTGAACTCGCAAGAAGGTTTTATTTTACAGTGTGTTTCCCTGGACACAATGGTGAGGAAGGCGACGGAGCTTGAAAAGTAAGACCTGCGTCCTCCTACTTGCCTGCAAATTGCCTGCCACCCCCAAATTGCATCTCTAAAGGGGGAATGTGGCTAAGCAAGGGGCAGGAGCCCTGCCATGCCCGGCGAGGGGGGCAGAAGAGACAGCAAGGGGAGCCACATCTCACTCCACACATCTTGCTTCTCCCCCGCCCTACCTGCCACCCCAACTGATAAAGAGACAGTGGGGAAGGGAAACAGCCAGGCTGCTGTTGCCATTGGGGTGGGTGGAACGTGTTGGGCCACTTAGCTGGTGCGAAGAACAGGGAGGGGAGGGCATGTCCCCCCTCCCCCCCCAGCCTCACCTCCTCAACTCATTTTGGTTGCACGGCAAGCAACCAGAGGAAATGGCGGGACCGGCTGTGCATGCATGTAAGTAGTTGGTGGGGGGGCTTATTTTGCGGGGGTGGCTTATATTATCGCATGCACTGAAAAGCCCGATTGGGTTTATTATCCAGACATGCCTTATTTTTGGGAAAACATGGTAGAATAGAATAGAATAGAATAGAATAGAATAGAATAGAATAGAATAGAATAGAATAGAATAGAATAGAATAGAATAGAATAGAATAGAATAGAATAGAATAATAACAGAGTTGGAAGGGACCTTGGAGGTCTTCTAGTCCAACTCCCTGCTCAGGCAGGAAACTCTATACCATTTCAGACAAATGGTTGTCCAAGCTCTTCTTAAAAACTTCCAGTGTTGGAGCATTCACAATTTTTGGAAGCAAGTTGCTCCAATGATTAATTGGTCTGTCAGGAAATTTCTTCTTAGTTCTCTCCTTGATGAGTTTCCATCCACTGCTTCTTGTCCTGCCCTCAGGTGCTTTGGAGAATAGTTTGACTCCATCTTTTTTGGAGTGATCTACAGATAGATTCCCCCATTTCCTATTACAAACATCTGAAACTACATAGACAGAAGTAGATCTAATGTAAAATAGGACCTCCAGGACCTCCAAATTCTCCCTTCACTGTAGCCTAAGGGTACAGAGTAAAATTGTTATATCAATGCTACTGAGAAAATGTACAGGGCAAAAAGGTGCACACTCCTTATATGCAATTCTTGCTGCATCAGACAATGGTGAAACCATCTTATTTTTATCCCATTCCCACATTTAAAACTTGAATAAAAATGATACTGTGATTCACTTCTTCTATGACACTTGCAACTGAAGACCCACTCTTTCTATAGTATACACTTTTGGGAATTACTGGGTCAGACCCAAGGAAAATCTCTTCAAGAAGAAATATATCACTGTTTCTTTCAATGCAGACAATACCCTTTGTTCTTCCAAAGAGGTATTGATGAGCTCTCTGATGCAGTCAGTTATCCCTCCATCTCTCAAGAGAGCCAGGAAAGGCAAAGCTCCAACTGAGAAGTGGCAAGCTTCCTAGTCCACAACCCTTCATATTATGAATATCACCCTAGGAAGCCATCAGATTTTCTGTGAGATTCATGATAGTCCCTCACCCTCTGCCTTCACATTGAGGTTGGTGCAAAACTGTGGTGGATAGATTTAGCTTATTAAAAAAAAAAAACTTTAAAACTCAAGACACCAAAAGCATTGGACTACACTATTCAGCCAGAATGTTTTTGGAAATATCTCACCCTTCGCAATTCATTGAGGTTTTAGTTTGGATTGCTGGGGTAATATATTTGTATCTCCCATGTCAGGAAGCTTGGAAATGGAAACAGATTGGAAGCTGTGTGGAATTACATCAAATGCCCTGAAGAAATTTCTCCGCCTTTTCTTTCAAAACTGATAACTTTTTGTAGTTCTTGTTAAAGCAGTGAAATATTAGGGAAAAGAGTTTACATTAATTACAGTAGTGATTATAGAGTGAAAGAAAATAAACATTCCAAAGCAAATTCAACAGAAATATCCATATAATAAATACTGTATAAATACCTGTGTGGACATTCATTCATTCATTCATTCATTCATTCATTCATTCATTCATTATTAGGCTTATCATTAAAACCATATCACAATGTATATTCTATCTTCTGATCCTTAGAACACATAAGCAAGTATTTGTACCAACATTGACAGTAGGAGATAAAGAACAGAGTTTAGAATAAGTAAAACTTAGCAAAATTTCAAAAGTGTAAAATATTTGCTGTCCAAATGGTCCAAAGGGGAAAGTAACCATACTAAGTCTCATTCAGAAAAAATATAGACACTAAAATGAAAATCTAGTGATATAACTGAACATCTGGAAAACTAAAGCCACCATTCTCATAAGATAACCACAGTGTTGCCAAAAATATTCTAAGGCCTGAGGGTGCCATTAAAAAAATCTCATTAACTTATCTATCTGTGTGAAATATCTAATAAGAATTAATTTGGAAACCCTCTAAAGATATACATTAATCTTAATGTAATATTCATTTTAATAACATTAATCTTACCCTTGAGACTTAATAGGAATTTTAAATATTAAGATATCTGTTGAAATTGCATCTATACATTGGACAATGTTAATTCAATAAATTATGATAAATTTTAAGAAATCTCAAGTATTTAATAGAATCTATATAAATCCTAATGACTCACAGGAAGCTATAGATTGTAATGATATGGGAGAAAGAACTTGGAAGATTGGACCCAAAGACACTGCCTAGGGAACAGTCAGATAAAAGATGGGTAGTGGGTAGGGCAAGAGGCTCAGAAGAGACCCTCTCTAGTTTCTCAGGCTGTTATATGGACTGGGAGGAAATAATACTTTCAGACTTGCAAGATTAAGGTAGCTTTATAATAATGTAGTATTAGCTCATCTGGTCACGTTTCCTGTCTAGTAAGGCTAACAAAGATATAGTAGTACCCAAAGACAACAAATTAGATTATTTCAATTAATAACCTTAAAGAAAATATGCCACAGTCTTTAAGAAAATAGGAACTTAATCCAGAAAAACAGGAAATGGTGAGAAATAAGATACCTGTACTGTCCCAGGCCACAAAAATCAGACACGTGATTAAGCCTTATATTTTTCAAACAGAACTCTAATAGCAAAAATGTTTGAACAAACAATCAACAGCCCTCACGCCCAAAATACCCAGCCCTCAAAAAGTCAATCAGATTAGATTTAATCTAGTTAAATCATAAAATACTAGAACAGGGGTGTCAAACTCGCATCATCACATGACATATTGTGACTTTTTTTCCTCTTTCCTAAACCAGGCATGGGCATAGCCAATGCGTGACGCATCCAGCCCTTGGGCCATGAGTTTGACACCCCTGTACTAGAAGATCAAACAAATGTGGTATGAATGTCCAGGTTCACTGCTTGAGAAGATAGGCTATCTAGTTGACAAATACAATGGTGAGGTAAGTGGAGAGTTGTTGCCAACTGATCTGTGAGTGCAGCTCCTCTTATATAAGGTTGACATGACCCTGATTGGTCCCTTTGGCAGGGCAGGGTTCCTTCTAGCTAACAGTCTTGCTGAGTGCCTTTGTTCAGCCCTCCTTTCTTCACACTAGGTCATCTTCTGAGATCAACAAACGCTGCCTCTCTTGGTTGCTAGCAATGCTCTTTCCCCTGCTTGTGATTCTTCCAAATGAATCCCCTCAGGCTGACAATCTCCCTGTAGCCTCTCTTCACCTCTGAGTCTGTGCTGGGTTATTGTCATGCCCCGCCCTGACTGTCTTTAATATAAGAGGGAGGAAAAGACAAACCCCACCAGCCTTTTAAG